TGTATTAATATGAAATACAGAGAAGCAAGGAGAATTTGAACTATTAGTTAGCTTAGCATTAATTTCATCCTCAGTATAATAATTACTAGGAGGAGGAGAAAAAGTAAACTGTTGATCTGGATCTAACTCATTAAAGAAAAACTGATTAGAGACAGACGAATTATCAATTGGGTTGTACAAAAGAGAGCTTAATCGTTCGTTATCATAATGTAGAGGTCCATGTGTCATTTCAAATAATACATTTTGTTAAGTCTGTATCTGATTTGGGCTTCTTTTTTGGAGGCAGAAGCCTCACTTCGCTTTCTTCCTCACTGCTTTCAGTACAACTAGCCATTACCAATCATCTTAAGAAAAAGTAAAAAGGAATCATAGATTCTTTCCTCTGATCAGGAAACCTGCTTTCCTAACATTAGCAGTGATTAACTTCTGAATTCAAAAAAGAAACCATGTCCTACGTAGTTAGTTGTTTCCTGGCGATATGTTTGAATATATGCACTTTTCAAGATAAAATTGAAGATTTGCTCTATATATTTGTGTATAGTTTCAGATAAATTGTTCTAAGCAAAGCAAAATTACGGATAAAAACTTTTACAGAACGTGTTTCATTGTCAATAATTTGTATGTAACTAGATAGATTTCCTTAACAAAACAGTATTACTTATAAATAATGGAAAGAGATGTGCTTACAAACCAAAACCTTTGCACATGGTAAGTCCTTCGCTAGCCACACGTTTAAATATTCGTAATTTTCAACATAAAAATGGAAATTTGCTCTCTGATTTGTGCACATCTTCAGATAAATTGCTCTTATCAACATAAAACTACTCCAAAACTGAAACTGAACGTGTTTTTAAAGTCAAAACCTTACCTGTGAAAGAAAACAACTTCGAAGCAAAATCCAATATGGCTGAACTAAACAGTCTGTAAGTACCAATTGCATTGTGGGAGCCTTACTCCCTTTGCACTTTGGGAAGTTTTCAATTTAGTAAGAATCGCAAACGTTACTATAAAAGTAAAAAAGACACTTGCATCAGGCAATTAGAGGTAGTTTTTGCTGAGAATCTATATTGATTCAGACAAAAATTTGCAATTGAATCTCTTGGTAAGGGAATTTGATAAATGAAGTGGTAGAGATATAATTACTTGGTAGATGCCGAGTTTTGGAAAATAATATTTTGATGTCGCAAATACTGTTTTCTTTGACTAACTTAAGTTGATGGATAAAGAAGTGATAAGTCTGGTCATTATTCAAAAGAATCTACATTGTAATGCCAATTGTCGCTTAAATAGCCTTAATTAAAAATTACCATAGCAACGGTTACCATGGAGACCTGGTTAAGAAGTTTTACACATTAAAATAAAAGATATTCACACCAGAAATGCTTGAACTAATTTAGAACTGTCTAGGCTTAACTTGAGGGGAGTAATGTCGAGTTGAACTTGTATAAAATAGTGATACTAAAAATATGCCTAAATCACAGGGGCCTTACCAGCAGTCACAAATGAGCCCCAAGCACAATGACGTCCCACCCGTACATCACTACATCATACTTTAAAATGTTCTATGAGTATTGCCTTATCATTTTGTGATGTGAGACTAAATATGTAGAGGGTGTGCTACGTTTTTCATTTTTTAGGCCTCTTCTGGAAATCTCCTCTTAGTCTATTATGTCCAGCGTGGAATTGTCAATCAATGGTTTTCCTCTTAATTATCAAATCGCACACAAACTACTGAAATTGGCTCTTATAGATCACTAAACTAAATATCAATTGTGGCGTACCCCAAGGATCTGTATAGGTCTCTTCTTGCTATATATAAATGACATCGAATATTGTTCGAGCAATCTCCAATTTTTCCTTTTTGCTGATGACACCAACGCTCTTCATGCTCATAAAGATTTAAAGACACTGGAACTAACGGTAAATGCAGAATTACGCAACTTTTATAACTGGCTGCCTTCAAATAAACTTTCTCTGGATATTAAAAAGTCAAACTATGTAATTTTTCTTCCATACCAAACAAAAAACAACTATGATCCCCAGGTTAATGTTTTTGACAATGAAAGCAGTAAAAAGGTTACCCATGAATGCATACTTACAAAACATGTGCCTCGACCTCTGAACATTTTTATACTAAAGAATTTCGACTCGATGTCAAACGAAATGCTTTTTCACGTGTTGGGGTCAAAGTTTGGAATGGGATACCTCAAATTCTCAAAGAAAGAAAAACTACCGGGGTTACCAGGCTTGTGGATCTTGGGTAATGAGTAAAATTGGAGGTACTTTTGTTCTACAATGAGATTAGTAGCAGATGGAGAAAGCTGGTTACTCTCTATAGCAGTGTTAATAAATGTCTTGGCCTCTTGTTGAGAGCTTTGTGTGGGAGCACCAGGAATCTTGTCGTAAAACTGTTCCTCTGTCAGTTGTCTTTTGCCCTCAGCTATGTAGAGATCTTTTCACACAACAAAAGCCCCTCCTTTATCAGCCTGTTTGCCGTTCTATTCTCCAACTCGCGTAATGCTGGTTGATCGTCATAAGTTAAGCTGTGCCATGTCAATCTGCACCCGAAGTCAATTTGATTCACTTCCCTACAACATTTATCAATTTAGTGATCAACGGCGATAAATTGTTTGGGTGGTGGGGTCTATTTGTTTTGTTTGGGT